GGAGAGCGCGCCGACGCCCACGCGACGCTAAGTACTGCGCTCAACCAGCTCCGGTACCTCCAGAACCTGCGACACCACCGCGTGACGTCCTCATCGCGTCGCGACGACTGCGTCGTGTGCCACGAAGAGCTTCCGATCGAGCGCGCCGTGTGGCCGTGTGCGCACGTGTTGTGTCGCTCGTGCACGCAAGCGATGCTCAAGTCGGCGCGACGCGCGCTCTGTCCGACCTGCCGTCGCCCGAGCACGGCCTCGTCGATTCAAATGGTCCGCGACGAGCCGCTGCGCATCGGTGCGTGCTTTCTCAATCGCAAGAATATTGTCTTCAAGATTGAGTTTGAGGCCTTTGTATGGAAACATAGGACCCGAGTGCGGGACCAAGGTCGACAGCATCGTCCGCTGCATCCTTGGTCTCGGCGACGTGCGCGTGCTGCTCTTTTCCCAGTGGCCCGACATGCTGCGCATCTTGTCGACGGCCTTGCATCGTGTTGGCGTACAGTGCATTTACCCCGAGGCAAAAAAAGACTTTGAGAAGGGACTGCAAGGGTTCAAGGCGGCGACAACGGCGGCGTGCGTGCTGGCGCTGCCCTTTCGACACGGTGCCAATGGCCTGAATCTTGTCGAGGCGTCGCATGTGGTCTTGGTCGAGCCGCTCTTGAACGGATCGGTGGAGCGACAAGCCATCAACCGTGTCCATCGGCTCGGGCAGGAGAAGCCGACGACCGTCCACCGCTTTATTGTGCAGCACTCGATCGAGGAAGGGGTGTTGGCGCTGCAGACCCGCGACACCCACCCGCCACTGCACGCGACCGAAGAGGTCTCGGCAACAGACTGGCGCCTACTTTTGCAGCAGGTGATGAAGACGCATCAATCGAGATCCTCATGTGCTACGACGTCGTTGTTAGGACCATGCCGCGATGAACGACGGGTTTTGGTCGGCGCCGATGCGCGGGCCGTCGCGTCAGCAAGTCAAAGACCGCTTGGAACGCGCGCGATCGTTTGAATTGCGGGCCACTGACGCCCGCCTCGTCGACGAGCCGACGCTGGTTGTCTGCGGCGTGTCTCTCAGCGTGCATGTCGCTGCGCAGTTGCTCCGAGGTAGTACGCTGCATTGCGGGATGCCCGTCGAGGCTCCTATGCTGACGTAGACTGCATTCCCGTCGATGATAACGATGCAGCGCTGCTTGCGGTGCTCCAACAGCGCCTGCGCGTCAAGCTGCACGCGCTGGGGCTCTCGGCGCCCGACGGCGCGTCGTTGCAATGACATGTCGATATCCCGTCCGCGACGCATCTCATTTTGCGCGTTGGCGATTCTCGTGCGTGCTCGTTTACAGATCTAGTCTCTGCCTTGTAGAAAATGAAGTCGCAGGTGATGGCGAAGCATGGAGACACGAAGATGCTACGGCGTCGTTGCCCTTGTTGTTGTTGTTGCTGTATACGCGCCGTACGCTGTCGTGTCGAGGTACTCGAAGAGAATGCGCTTGGTCGCGGCAAACACGCGCACGAGCGGCTTGTCCTTGCGACTGCCGTCGGCCGCGACCACCGAGTGGTCGAGCCGCGCCAGCAGTCCAAGTTGCACTTTGGACGGGAGACAACGCACTTTTTTGGTCTGCAGGAATCGGCTGTAGAGAGCATGTCCCACGGCGCGACGGCGCTCGGTCGGGTCCAGTGCATCGATCGCGCGCCACAAGTCGACGTGGGCGTCTTTGCCGTGAAGGGCACAAAAGGCGCGAAACCCTGGGTCCGAGCGCAGCGCGAGCGCAAGCCGGTCCCGACGCGACGCCGCCGTGTCTTCCAGTCGCATCGCTGCGCGCTCGCGGGCTCCGATCACGTCGTCGAGCTGGTCGCGTGCCTGGTGCACGAGCGCATGGGATGCGGGCAGCCGGCCGAGGCGACGTTGCAGCGTCTGGTGGGCGAGGCTCACGCACGCCGCGTAGTCCGACTGTGCGATCTACACGCGACATGTCAGCTAGCGCCTCTACTACAATGTGAAAGCGGACGACCAAGAAGTGGTGGTAGTCGTTGAGGCCGGCGCACAAATGGCTGTCGTCCATGGCCACGTGCGTCCAGAGAAGCGCCAACGCCTGGTCGAAGCGCTGGATGGCGGCCCCTGTCTCGTTGCGTGCCTATGCTCAACCACACATAAGCGATGAGCTGCCTTGCGTGAACCACCGCAAGCACGCGCGCGTGTTCGAGGTACACGTGTCCAAGAAAGGCCACGTCGTCGTCGACGTCGGTGCAGAGGCTTTTGAGAAGCGTCTCGAGCTGCTGCTTGGCCTCCTCGAGCTTGCCTTCGCGTCGGTAGACACTGGCCAGTTGAAGCTGCGCCGTGTGCAGCTTGCCTAGTCGAAGCTCTCAGTTCTGCATCGGCAGGAGCGAGGAAGGTCTGTACGGTTGGATTGGTTGGCGACGACCGCGTCGATGGTCTCGAGCTCGACCTGCCGAGCGCGCTTGGGGCTCACGAGTGCCGCAACCGTTCGTGACGTGGCACCCTGCAGCTTCAGCACGCTTTCGTAGATGCTGTGGCACGTAGCGAGATGGTCGTTCCACGAAGCCTCGTGGTCTTCCGGTGCATTCGTCGGGGCCATCTCGATACACGTGTGATGGCGGTTTGCAGCTTGGAAGTGCACGCGACCGTAGCACTTATCGCAGTAGCAGCACTGGCACGTGGTGCAGCGATTGCGAGCAAAGAGGAGCTGGCAGCTGTTGCAGAGGCTCCTTGGTGCGCGCCTCGGCTTCGACGGCGACGGAACTCGCACTGGGCGCAGCGGGGATGACGGCGGTAGCGAGACAGTCGACGTCGTCGGTGGCGGGGCCCACCACTGCCGTGTGTGGGCTTTCTGTGCGCCCAAAACGGCAGCGAGTGCACCGTGGCCATGCGTGTGGAGATGATAGAAGCAGTCGTGGCCGAGGAAATCGGGCTGGTTAAGGTCAGCGCCAGCCGCGACGAGCTCGTTCAGAACGTCGAGACGGCCTTTCTGTGCCGCAATCATGGCGCCGGTGAGGCCAAACCGGTTGGGCAGAAACCACGGACAGAGCGGAAGGGCAGCTCGGACGTCGCTGATCGATCCCCGCGCACAGCACACGTGCAAAAGCATGTCACCGACGGGCGACTCGTAGGCCGGACTCGCTGTCTTGTGCGCTCCAAGGTACGCAAAAATCGAGGGTACTGGCGCCGCGTCCAAGGCACGTGCAAGCCCGCGCTCGGTCGCCGCCAAATCTTTCGCCTCGCGCTTGGAATCCAGAAGAGAGCTTCCGCTACACATGGCGGCAGCATTCAGGAACCCCGCGGCGTGGGCCAGGGCCGCCGCCGTGTCGCCATTCCGGGCCTACTCGATTATCTGGAGCTCGAGTGCAACCCATGCGAGGAGTGTACTTGGAGCGCCGGCGTCGCGCCATGGGTCAACAGCAGGCGCACCAGCGACAAGAAATTGTGTTTGGCGGCGACCATGAGCGGCGTCAAGCCAAGCGCGTTGGTCGCATTCACCTACGTCGAAGCGTGAGCGTCAACCGCTTCGTTGCAGCTCGACCAGGTCGGGCGATTGCGCAAGAAGACGCTGAACGACGGCGACACGCCCTTTCGCGCAGGCCACGAGCATGCCGGTTGCTCCGCATTTCGTCTCGTAATGGATGCACGTAGGCGGCAATAGCGCTAGTGCGTCGAGATCGTCGGCGACGATGGCCACAAGCAGCGCCGTCTTGCCGTCGCTCGTCTCGAAGCCGGGGTCGGCGCCGAGCTGGAGCAAGGCCCGCGCCACGGGCAAGTGGTTGGTCGCGATCGCGCAGATGAGCGGCGTCACGCCGTGCGCTTCCGCGTCCGGATCGGCGCCATGCGCAATGAGATGCTCCAAGGCGTCGCAGTTGGCCTCGCGCAGGGCCGTCGCCATCTTCTTGGTCCATGCGGCGCTCGACACATGTGCAATCTCTGTCCTGCGTCCGATCGTTTTGAAGAGTCAACGAGGATCGAACAGAGGGTACCTCGTGGCTGCATGGTGCTGCGCAACCGTAGCAAGACGCGCCTGCGCGACGGCAGCCGACGCCAGTCGTGCATCATGAGCGACGACGCGCCGCTGCAGCTCCGTAATGCGACTCGCCGTCGACGTGGCGCTCTCCGTATGCGCGTCGAGGTGATACGTCTGCAGGCGCTTTCGCAGCCGTGCGGCCTCGCGAAAGCTTGCGATGGCCGCGTCGTAAGCGCTTTGCTCGGCTTGTGCGTCCAGCGCGCACTGGAAGGCGACCGCCGCAGCGTCCTCCAAGGCCATGGCCTCGTTCGCGCGGGCTTCTGCCTGTCGCTCGTCCGAGGCGTCGCGTCGCCGCTGCTCCTGTCGCTTCTTGCCGGTGCGCGCGAGGGCTCTCGATCGGCGCTCCTGCCGCCGGCGGACTTTGGCCTCGTACGCGTCGAGTGCGTCCATGTAAGATTTGACGCTTGATTTATCTATCTATCTATCTATCTATCTATCTATCCATCTACACTGTATCTATCCTCCTGTTGCACCCTCGCTTGAGCATGTTCAACGAGCCTTAGACGTGTCCACACATGCCATGTTAGGACAGGTCCGAGGCAATGGTCTCACGTCATGGTCGTCTCACGCTATTCGAGTTGTGGAGAGTAAACAGCTTCCATCCAACGCGTCCTCGCCGATCCACACCGTCCCCTCTGCGATGATAGCGCGTTCGACTTGTCGGACTTGTGCTTCTCGTTGTCATGAGCGCAGGTCGTCGTCATCCCCTTCATGGCCCGGACGCAGGTATTGGCAAAACGACAAGACTCGTGCTCTGGACGGCGGAGCCATACACGCTCCGACCCAATTCTCTCCCGTCTCGGCCATGTGCTTGGGCTTGTAGCCACCGTGCTTGGAGGCATGAACTTCTTGGCGAGCGCGTCGCTACAGCTTGGTAGTGCGAACCGCCGTCGACGCAGCAATTTCGCCCAAGTGTGCCAGGCGAAACCTTGCAGCGTCATGGGCTATTGCTTGGCTTGGGCGCGGCTCAAGGTGGCGGCCGCAGCGTCCTCCAAGGCCATGACCTTGTTCGCGCTGGCTTTCGCATGTCGCTCGTTTGCGGCGTCGCATGAGCGCTCTTCAAGACGCTGCTTGCCGGAGCGCGTCCTGGCAGGAATCGAGTCGCTGGCTTGCATGTCCACTGCGTAGTGCGAGGACGATCGATCGCATGTGGGTCAGAAGGATGACACTGTATTGCATTCCGTCGACCTCGTCTTCATCTATCTACTGCTTCATGCCTGCTTAGCTCGTAAAGTACGTGCCCTTCTTGAAGCAGTCCATGCATAGTCTGTGGCGAAGCTTCTTCGTGCCGCAGTGCTCGCACGACTGGAGGTGCACGATGTTCTTGAGGCGCTTGGACGGGTCGTTGTTGCGGATCTTCTTGCGCGACGGCGTCACCTTGGACTTGGGGCACGCGTGCCAGAGCGCGTCGTTGAGCTCATCGGCCTCGTGGTCGTGGTCGTGGTCGCAGGCGCCGTGGGCAGCAAGCTCCATCTGGACCTGCGGGAACATGCTCCACGTCGGAGTCTGCATGAGGCGACGGACGCTCGTGACAAGGCGCTGGAGAGCCATTTCGACCTGCGAGGATTCTAGAGTAAGACGCTGCCACCAGTCGACGACCGCCGGTCCGGAAAAACTCCGGCTTTCCAGCAAATGCCAAAAAAGGGTTATCGCGTTAAACACAAGTAAAACCCGTCGGGTCCACCACGCCGACGTAGACTCAAGCGCACCTCTACCACGCATTGCATCGACGCCTTGCAAGGTCGGTGCGGATGCATGGCACCGTGTCATTTTGAATCAGCACGGGCATCCACGTCATATGCCGCTTCCATCGGTTAAATCCATCCAAATGCGTTAAACTCGGCGCGACAGCATGCTCGCCATGTCGATGCGAGCGAAATGAACCAAAGAGAAGTATATCGCAGAGGCGTTAAAAGGGTTCGCAGCGCACCCAGCCCGACGACTGGAGGCTCTTGACGCCCGAGTTGCCTCGTTGAAAGGGCATGATCGCGCAGCGCTTCTCTTGCAGCATCTGGAAGAGAATGCGCGCCTTCTCGCCCGTGTTGAGGACGACGTAGAGCTACACGCGCCGTGAGCCATAAACAGCGAATCGGGACGTACGGCGTCGTCCGTAAAGGACTGGATCGTGCCGACGTACTCGCGCTGCATGAGGTTGGACGAGAGGACGACCTCGTCGCCTTCGTCAAAGAGATGGTCGCCGCAGCTGAGCACTCCCCGGCGGCACGATGTTGGCACTGATGGCAGATAAGATCGCATCAATCCAAGCGCAAGCTTATACCTGGCGCCAGCGTGTCGTTGAGGACCGGCGTGGTCTTCCAGCTGCGGCAAATGGCGGCGACGTCGCTCTGGACCTCGGGCAGCGCGAGGCGGCACTCGGACGGCGGCAACAAGCCTACGACACCTCATGGTGCAATGCTCGAATCAAGGCAGGGACGGAATACCGTCGGCGAGCTTGGGTTTCTTGGCCACCGGCTGCTCGTCGGCCGTCGGGTCGGCATCCAACTGTGTGAGCTGCGCCTCGACGTCGTCGAGCATCGCATGGACGTGGCTCATCATGTCGTACTTGATGCAGTCCTTTCCGGTCGCGTAGAGGTCCTCCGCCTTTTGATAGTCAAAGAGGAGCAAATCCTGGACGTTCTTGAGCTGGAGCTCGCGGTGCTGCCGCGCTGTCTGGAGCGCGCGGCTACGGTCCTCCTTGAACTCGACGCACCGCCGGCAGTACTCGGCGAACGTGCCATCTTCAATCATCTGAACTTTCTTCTTGAGCTCAAGCATGTGCTCCTTGAACTCGAGGGCGGTCTCTTCGTGGCCATCGTTCTCACCGTCGTCGTCGTCCGCGTCGTCGTGGCGCGCCTTGCTCTTGCTCCCGTGCTTCTTCTCGTCGAGGATATCGGCCTCGGCTTCTTCGATGCATCCTATGAGCGCCTGCAAGAGGCCCTGCGCGGTGGCCTCCTTGTCGTCCGCGTCGTCTTCGGACATGGAGTCGTCGACGTTGGCGCTGTCGTGGTCCTTCTCCAGCTGCTGCAGCGAGCGCGATCGTGGCGGCGGCGAGCGCAGCCCGTTGCCATGGCTGCCGCTGTCGCCGTCAGCGTCCTTGGAGATGCTGCTCGTCTTGGGCTTGCGGCCGCGCTGTCCGCCACGGCGAGATCGTTCCATCCTCGGCCGTGATCTTCGCCACAATTCAACTTTGCTCCAGCGCACACTCCGGCTCGAATGTACACTATTTATGGAACGATGTATCATATTAGTGTACACATAGATCCGGGCTCGATTGGTGCTAGAGATAAAGTGCCAAAAGACGAGCTCGAAGCATCGCCCTGCGTCTTTTGTTGCTTTGTATCCTCTGTGTTTGAACACGTAGGCGTGGGTGGGTCTCCTGCAGCGTTGAACACGAGCGTGTCGAGGTTGCATGCACACTATAATCGTGTATAAAAAGTACTGTGCACAACGTGGCCGGTGACAAACCCGGAGACCGACTAGTCATTTGGCGCGTACACAGTGCGCAGGTCGTCTCGTGATCCAGCTCAAGACGACAAGATGCACTGATGAAGCGACACAGCCAGTCGAGGCGGCGACCATACGCCCAAGGATTCCTTCGCATCCATAGCCACTAACACACACTATTAACGAAGTAAACACATGTATAGTGTTATCCATGCATGGGAATCCGGAGCAAACCCGGTGGCCGGCCAAGGCCTCCAATCAATTGGCCGCTAAGGTGCTCATTTGAGCAACCCAATCGGCGCGAGCAACCTAGAGTATGGCGGACGAGACCCACAGCCATGAGCGCCCCGAGTAAGGCTACGTGCAGCATGACACCTTCTCCCATGTGATGCTTATGGCGGCCTGCATAGACGCGTGCGCCCGCGCCGCCTGGAGCCGGACACGACCGCGTACCTCCTCGAGGTCAAGACGTCGCTGCTCGAGAGCCTCGGCGACGACGGCGACGACACCAAGTCGATTCTTCTCTGGAACGTCCTTGAGGAGCTGGCGCCGCGTATCGCGAGTGCGGCCTCGGACCGCCACGCGTGCGAGATCGTTGAAGTGCTTGTGGAGCACATGTCGCCGCGCCAGCTGAGCTTCTTCGTGCACAAGATGGAGGGCTACTACAGCCATCTCTGGACGAACCGGTACTCGTCGCACGTGCTCCAGCGCATCTTGTCCAAGGTCGGTGCCATCGTGCAGGCCGAAGTCGACGGGTCGCTCGAGACCACCGAGGACGACGACGAACGCTCCAAGAACGTGCCGACGATGGCGACGCTCATTGTGGCCATGTGCACCGAAGTCAAGGACGAGTGGATCACGCTCGTCAACGACGTCAGCGCGTCGCACGTGCTGCGTGGCGTCCTCTGCGCGCTCGCGGGCCGCGCGCCCGTCGCCGAGAAGCGCGGCAAGAAGGGCAAGCACGGCGCGGTCAAGTTTGAAAATCTCCCGAAGAAGAGGTAAACAGTACGTTA